TCTAGCCTGGGCAACAGAGTGAGAATCCGACTCAAAAAAATTTTTAAAATGCTCATCTTGCCTCCTCATAGCTAACCATTGTCTTCCTTCCTGGCCAGCACCCACCTTCCCCTCCGTCGAAATCAAACCGCTTCACCAGCTGTGTGAGGTGAGCAGGAAACCGAAGCCGTCTGTGCCTCAGTTTCCTCATCTTTAAACCAGGAGAAGCAGGCCAGGCATGGTGGCTCACTCCTGTAACCCCAAAACTTTGGGAGGCCGAAGAAGGAGGATTGCTTGAGTTCAGGAGTTCAACACCGGCCTGGGCAACTTGGTGAGACTTTGTCTCTACAAAAAAACCAGCCGCGTGTGGTGGCATGTGCCTGTAGTCCCAGCTACTCAGGAGACTGAGGCAGGAAGATCGCCTGAGACCACGAGATTGAGGCTGGGGCAAGCTGTGGTCATAGCACTTCGCTCCAGCCTCAGCCACAGAGTAAGACCCCGACTCTAAAAAATAAAATTAAATAGGAGAATCCGATTTGATTCACGTTTGCTACTGTGCAGGTCACGTGCCTACTGTTGGGACTTGGGTGTGGGCAGGAGGTGGACCCGGCGTTAGAAAGGACTGACGCGGGTCGCGAATCCCTCTTCCCAGCTCTCTCCTGCCCCTGTTCCCTCCCATGAGCAGAAAGTCTCTGTCGGGTCCTGCATTACCTTTGACACCCTTCCAGCACTTGCTGACTTTAATAACAGACACAGGCAGCAACGATTTGTTTTCCTTATACTTTTAATTTAATGGCGACCATCTGTTTCTGGTACAGGATTCTCTAGTGATAGCAATCGTGTCCTTTTCAAATGCAAGACTTTTGGTTTTTGGGTTTTTTGGGGGGGTTGGAGTCTCACTCTGTCGCCCAGACTGGAGCGCAGTGGCCGCTCCCGGCCACCGCAGCCTCGATCCGCTGGGCTCCGGCGATCCTTCCGCCTCAGCCTTCCAAGTAGCTGGAACTACAGGTGCGCGCTACTACGCCCGGCTCATTTTTGATTTATTGTAGAGATGAGGTCTCGTCAAGTTGCCCAGGCGGGTCTCGAACCCACGGGCTCAGGCAATCCACTCACCTCACCTCGGCCTCCCAAAGCGTAGGATTACAGGCTGAGCCATCGAGCCTGGCTGACTTTCGGTTTTAAACAAGGGAGGGGTCTTTATAGAAAGGTCAGGAGTAGGCAGAATTTACCTATGATGTTAAGGTCAGAATCATGGTTGCTTTTAGGGGGCACTGGCTAGGAGGGGCCTCGGAGAGCTTTCCGAGATGCTGGGAGTGTGAATGTCCGGTCTCTTGGTCTGGGCAGTGGGGACTCAGGTGTAAACATTCATTAAGCTTAGCATTGGACCTAAAGATCTTCATGACGGCAAGCCCTCTCGGAGCCAGGCACGCGCTGGCAGCGGGTGCTTCCTGCGGGGGCCACGGAGCCCACCAGAAGGGCCCTGTCTTCCCGGCCCCCGGCGCCTTCCTGCAGCGCCTGGCCCCAGCCTCCTTCCTCTCTGCACACTGGCCTGAGCCTCAGCTGCGTCTATCATCTGCTTCAAGCTCATTAAAATTATTTCTTTTTAGTTGCAAATGGGCTGTTTATGATGATCATTATTTGAATGGTCTGCGCCGGGCTCCGGGCTGTCTGTCTGCCGCTGATGGCCGGTTAATCAGATGAGTCTCCTCCCTGCCTGGACCTGGCCCAAAGTCTGGGGCCGTGTTCATCACGGCTCCCCCGGGGCTGGGGCTGGGGGGCTGGGGGTGGCGGAGGGGCAGAGGCCGGGTGGGAGAGAATCCCAAGTTCTGCTTGATTATCAAAGCTGCGTGTGTGTGGTGGTGGTCTGGGCACGCTTTCTCGAAAGCTCATCAGACCAGTGCTGGTGACTGTGTATGACCGTTTCTTTCCATCTCTTTAAAATAAACATGGTGTCATGAGCTTTTTAATTTTGGCTGTGTTTATTTTAAAAGACCCTTGTCGGTGCTGCCATTGGCCCTGCGGCTTTGTGGATGTTTCAATATCCTTTCTTTTGGGCTGGGAGGGAGTGGTTTTTAGCGTCTTGGCTTCCTACGGTAACACTTGGCCATACTCTCCAGCCTTTTTTTTTTTTAAAGTAAAATTGCTACTGACCCGTGAAATACAAAATTCTTGGTGTCGTAGATCTGGTAGGGTGTTTTCTGAGCTCTCCATTTCTCACTAGACTGATATCAGCCAACGGGCATCGAACACGTGGTACCATGCTGGACATTCAGCACGCCCATGTCGTTCTAGACACGCTCCCTGAACAGCTTGGCGGGCACGGGGCAGAGCAGAAACCCACTGAGGGGCACTGAAGCATTTGCCTTTGGAATCCGCCAAGGAGGTCAACCACACCTCGGCGATTAGGACCGACTGTCGTTGATTTCCGAGTCCCTGCCTGAATCACCCTATAGACACACTCATGTGCATGTTTCACAGGACAGCGTATGTTGGGGGCTCAGCCTCACGCCTGGTGCAGGCGGGCATTCTGTACGTGGTCGTTACAATGATGATGGTTTACTGTCACTGATCTGGATGTCCGCGAGTTGGCCATTGAAATGCAGCAAGAATTCAGGGCTGAAGGATGAGCATGGATTCAGGCAGAGCTGAGAAGCCGTGCGTGGGTGTCAGTGACTTTGCCTGCAATTCCAGGGCCATGCAGGAAAGACACCAACAGCCGTGCTTGTGGTGGGGCCAGGGCCAGGGGCCTGTTGGTGTCCCTACGTGGCCTCACTCTGCTCTGCCCTGTGGACGCTGCGGACATCCTGCCTGTCAGATTTGCACCCACCGGCAGCCTGGGGGGTGTGGGCAGAGGGAGCTGGGCGTGTCTGGTACAGCACACTGGGCCCTTGGACCTCTGAGGCTCCCTCTTAGAGCCTGGGCAGGATGTTTTTAGGGGAGTCAGAGTCCAGCCCCGACCTGGCTGCTGTGGTGTGGGAGGCACAGTGTCCCCGGGATGAGAACATGGTGTCAACCACGTGATCATCCCAAAACGAGGGCTCTAAACCCAAGTCCCGGCTCCGTATGTCCTGCAGCCTTGTGCAGTTCACACCCTTGTCTTCAAGAGAGACACCCAGAAGCACCGTGAGCACCCCTGCGGCCCGCATGGACCGTGTCGCTTGAGCCCTCTCTCCCCTGCCACCTGCAATTAAGTCCGCCTGACTGCACCACCTGGCTGACCGTGGCCGCCTTTGCCTGTTGCCATGAACACCGACCTCTCTACCATCACTTCATTTTAGTTGTGGTCAGCTATGGTTTCTTTACTGGAAACTGCAGTGAGTTTTAAAGGGTGGTAAAACCAGATGTCCCTCTTTTTCGTGGGACCCCTTGTTTCTCATCTGGCTCAAAGTCCTACGGGGCTTTTGAACTACCCACCCGCCCCAAGCTGCAACTGGAAGCATCTTGCGCTTCCGCCAAATCGGTTTCAGGACCTTGGAGAGCACCTAGCCGCTTGGGTTCCCTCCACCTTTCCCCTTTCTAGTCTCTGAGTCTCCAAAGACGTTAGACATTTCCCCAGAAAGAGAAATTCCTCCCAGGAGTTCTACAAATGTCTCCACAGGCCAGGGACGCTTGTGCCAGGTTTGTTTGGGGGCACCAGGTCGATGGTGCCAGGACGAACTGCCGTGGAGAAGATTCCCCGACTCTCGGGCGTGATATAAGACAATTACCATGTATTTCGTCGCTTAGAGGGAGAAGGATTTGCAGCGGGTTAATAGTACTTTTATTTCATTATCTAGTGGTAAAAGTGTTTCATTGTGTGTGCAAGTTGAATGTGTATTAGCAATGACAAATGGGGTCTTTCAGCACGGTGCCGGGCTGCGTCGTACATATGTTAGATTAAAGAGTTCACCCTAGAAATACACTCCCGCATCTGCGTGTGTGTTTTTAATAAATCTGATTGCAGAAATTTATTGCATCACCGGATTTAGGAAATTATGGGGCTTGATTGCGGCAAATATAATCGGGTGATATATACAGAAATGTTCCTCCAGTTATGGTCCAGAAAAAAAGCCCATCTCAGGATGGTGCAGAAGGCAGCGGACCACATAAACAGAGCATTTCTTGAATTATGCAAATGAAACCCGTGACATCTCAGGGTGAATTGTGCTTCCCTTGTGAAACTGCCACCGTCAAAGTGAAGAGAGAAAGCTGCGAGGGGATGATCAGACACGGGTGCGCGACCTGCAGATGTTGTCTGAGCCGCGCGTGGGCCGGAGCGTCCCCCCTGCCACCCTGTCCCTTTTTCCCCTCGCTGGCCGGTCCTGTAGAAACCTGGTCCGATGCCTCCCTGCACCCAGCAGGCAGAGCGCCTTCCGGCCCGCCCCCTCCGAGCCCAGGCGTCTCCGATGAAATATCTCTTATACTTGAAGTGAACCTGAAATGATTGACCGCGGGATACGCTAAAGGTCAGCGCGCCTCGTAGGGGCACCTCCGTTTTTCCAAAACTGACTGAAATTAAAAAGCCATCTCGATCTGAAAAGGCGTATTTATGAACCTTTAAGTGTAAGTAAGTCATCGTTGGACGGGTTCCCGCCTCTGATCTGGAAAAGCTGTCGACAGCACTCCCTTCCGCTCTGACACGTCCGTACAATATGCCGCGCGCGACTATTTTGACACGGTTTGGAGATGTTTTCTGCAGCTCCTGACAAGCTTATGCTATTGCTCCTTTGGAAATTTAGGAGGTGGGGCAGGGGGTGGGGGAGAGCTGGGGGGGGTGGGGAGCCAACTCCACCCAACTTTATAGGAGACGATCGATCTGGCCCGACTTCCCAGGAGCCCAAAAGCCGGCCAGGATTCTTCCGGTTGCCTGCTCAGTTTTGTGAATTATTCATTTGTGCCAGGAGTCAATATCCTGTCTTTTCTCAGCTTTGTAAGTTAAGAAAACTTGTTCGGAATGCTGTTTTGTACGACAGTTAAAAAGGAAAAAGAGGGGAAAAAAATCTTTTTTCTTTTCTCTCTCTCTCTCTCTCTTATTGTTCCAGAAGGAGCTTAATTCCGTCGCTTCGGAGCTGTCTGCACGGCAGGAGGAGAGCGAGCATTCTCATAAACATTTAATTGAACTCCGCCGGGAATTTAAGAAAAATGTACCTGAGGTACAGTATATTTGCGGTTATAGAATTAACTCAGTCGGAATGCAGATTTTTCCCAGTTCAAACTATCTTTTGAAAATGGTAGACGTGAGGGACTAACAAGGAAAGAAGCTCATTAGCCGCCAAGACGAATGACCGCTCCCAGCCTTCTGGTTCCCTGGTCCAGGGCGCTCGGGGGGCCGGCCCAGGAGGGCGGGAGGCGTCTCCCTCGGAGGCCTGGTTGTCCCCCAGGTTGGATGTGTGGCCTTGACCGTGGAGACGCCCTGCCCAGGGCTTTGGGTTTCTCTTGCTTTTCCGTGGGTGTCTGGGAGAAGGCAGCTGTGAGCCAGCAGCACCCTCCCGCCCCTGTATGCCCCTGGGCGCCTAGTCCTCTCCACCCTCGTAGTTCCAGCAGCCCGCGGGTCCTTCCCCGCCACACGGGCTGGTCTGAGGATGACCCGCCCAGCAGCGCACGGCACCCCCAGAGGGGCCGACGGGAGCAGACGTGACTGTTCTTTACGGGTGAAGGTGCGAACTCTTCTCTCTCCTCCATCGGGCTCCCCCATTGCTTCTCAAATGAAGGAAAAAATGACAGGAATAAACACAAGTAGGGAAAGAAAGTCCTCTGGCTGGGGCGTGACGCTGGCGGGGAGGTGGCACATCCGAGCCCCAGAGCCACTGGCTTTGCTCTGGCCCACGGAAGGGGAACACCCGTCCCTACCTGCCCAGGTGTGCTGGGCGCACACGAGGGTGGGCGGGGCATGGCGCTCAGGGAGCCATAATCCCGCCAGCTGGCCTCTCCTGTAGCTGGCCTCTCCTATCTGGGTCGCCGGGGCTCCTGATGGGGGCGGGGAGGCCCAGCCAGACTCTGGCCACACGAGCCTCCACCTCGGTCTTGGCCTCTTGGCGGCAGCAGCCTCCTCACACAAGCCGCAAATCTCTCTGACTCCTCAAGGCAGGAGAGAGGCCTCGGATCTAGCTAGGCCTTATCCGCGGGGCCGGTCTAGACGGCGCCTCGGGGCTGAGGGCTTGGAGCACGCGTGTGTGGAAAAGCGTGAACCGCAGACCCGAAAGTCATCTCCACGTCGTGGCTTCCGAAAGGCCAAGCTGGGGCTTGACACCAGGCGCTGAGAAGCCACCGGAAGGCCAACGCCCCTTCCGTGTTAGGACAGTGCTGGGCCTGGGCTGTCAACTGATTTTTGTCCCCAGCATGAGGCTGTCGCGGACCCTCCTCTGCCTCTGATTCTGGGAAGCAGAGCTGAGTGGGCCCCAGATCTTGGTGGTCCCCGTGCCCCCTCTTGGGTCAGTTCAGACCCTCGGTCCTGTCTTCCCCAGCCCTGCGAACTTTCTCCCTGGGCCACGAGGGATCCCCCAGGTGGTGACGGAAATCCAGGCCAGGTTTTGAGCCTCGGAGTTCGGCTTACGTAATTTTAATACTGCATAATTATGCAATTATGTAATTAGGAGGAATAAGTTTCCATTCCTATTATAGTTGTGCCTCTGAAAATTCTCGTTTTTGGAACGAGGCTCTCCTGATGCCAAGGCTTTATTTAAGAGCCTCCTCTGGCCGGCGCCCAGCTCACCTCCCGTCGCGCTGCCGCGGCTCGCGTCCCCAGCGTGAGGCACACGGGCTCTGCAGACGGCCCGAAGCCCCACCAAGCACCCCCCGTCCAGAGGCTCAGACTTGGACCCTCTCGATTCTCTGGGGAGCCCGTTTGGGGAATCTGGGGACCTGGGTTCGAGTTCCAGCCATGCCGCTCACCGGCTGTGTGGCCTCGGGCAGGCCAGACCCTCCCAGGGCCTCCGTCTCCCCTTTGCGAGTCCAGGGGACTGGACAGATGGTTTCTGAGAGGCGCCATCCGATCCGACGCATCCTGAACCTGGCTGCACCCAGGTTTCCTGCCAGTGCAATCCATTTGCTCTCTAAAGTCTTTCAAGCCTTTGGTCTGTTGCCAGCATTTAGCAGCTCAGAAGACTTCCCCTAAAAATCAGATTTCCGGTGTCTTTTGAGACTGCGTGGCAGGCCTTGCGACTCAGAGTCCGTGCGCACACCGCCCGCCATCCCCAGAGCGGGGCCTGTGACCCCAGCCGGCCTCCCTGAATCCTCCCGCCTGGCCCACTGGGCACTTGGGTTCCCCGCTGTGACCTGGCCTTCTGGCTTCCTTCTGGCTAAGCCATGCACTCCTCAAGACTAAGTCCCCTGGGTCCACACACTCTGTCCCCAGCACGGTCAGTATGTCAGAGCAGGAGTCAGTGAGGAGGGGTCCCAGGGCTCAGAGGAGGGGTCCCTTCCAGAGGCAGAAGCAGCATGACCTTATTTTCATAATCATTCTTTTTAATTTGTTTTTTTAGTATATATTTATTCGCTTATGGTGGAGACGAGATCTCACAATGTTGCCCAGGCTGGTCTCGAACTCCCGGCCTCAAGCCATCCTCCCGCCTCAGCCTCCCAGAGTGCTGGGTCTGCAGCCCACCTCGTCCTCTCCCACTGCTCTCTGCAGCCTTCCCTCCCCTTCTCCTCCCCTGGGGGTTTCCTGTGACTGATTGTGTTAGAGGAGTCCCCAGTGGGTCTCGGAGGAGACTTTGGAGGATTTACAGCGGGCATCTCGGGCCCCGTGGTTCTTGATGCCAGGGAGAAGAACTCCTAGGGGCTTGCCGGGGGCATCTGTGGGGCTGGGTCACTTACGGAACTCAGGATACTAGAGTCTGAAGCAGGAGGCTCGAGAGGGAGGACCAGCCTCTCACCTGAAGCCAGAGCCCAGGTCCACCGAGCTCAGCAGGCATTTGCAGAGCCCTTCCCCTAAGCCGGGCACCCAGGCGAGACCCAGCCAGGTCCCCAGAACCGCACGTCGTGGTGAGGAAGGAGCGCCAGGTGCACGAGGCGTGTCCCGGCTGGAGAGGCGGTGGGCAGGGCAGCACCTTGCAGGCAGCAGGCTCTTCTGGAGGGCCTTGGATGTCTGAGTGCTGAGTGCGGAGTACTGGGGTTGCCTCTCTAGCCCCTCTCCCAAGCGTGTCCCATGACGGGCCTCCAGCCTCACACGAGACTTTGCGTAAAAGACGATCCGTGACCAAATCCATCTGGAAAAACGCCACCTCCTCTCTCCCTCTCCTGGAAATTCCCAACGTGCATTGTATTAAAGGCTCTGAAAAGTCCTGCAGGAAAGAAACCCATTGGACTTGTTGGTTCTGGTCTAACGTGGCTTGGCACTGTGTGTGTGTGTGTGTGTGTGTGTGTGTGTGTGTGTGTGTGTGTGTGTGTCCCTTGTGAAGTCCCTTGGAGTGCAGGGATACGCTGACCCGGGGACAGCAGCAAGCTGTGAACAGGGACCACGGGGCGTCCCGCCTGGCGCTGTGGTGAACTCTCTGCTGATCTCTTTTTCAGGAAATCAGAGAGATGGTGGCTCCTGTATTAAAAAGCTTCCAAGCCGAGGTAAGACCCACGGCCCATGGCATGTTAGAAAGCGCCCGGCTCCCCCGCCTGTCCCCCCAAGAGTTGCCAGGGAAGGCCGACAGCCTCTGGAAGCTTTGGAGAGTCTCTCAGCCTCCAGTGCAAACTCCAGGCCCTTCCCCTCTGTGTCCTGTCCCAGTGGTGTGGTCATGAGAACGGGTTCTCTGTTCTATCCGATGGAATTCCAGAGTCTGAGTCTGAGAAATCTTCTTCTCCCTGGACTCTGGCCAGCCTTACGCTGTGCTACGTGAGATCTGTGACCTTGAGCTAGGCATGGTGGCTCACGCCTGCCATCCCAGCCAACAATTCAGGAGGCCAAAGCGGGAGGATCGCTTGAGGTCAGGAGTTCAAGACCAGCCTGGGCAACATAGCGAGACTTCGTCTCTACAAAAAAACAAGAACACAAAAACGAGCCAGGGGTGGAGGCATGTGCCTGTAGTCCCAGCTACCCGGGAGGCTGAGATGGGAGGATCACTTGAACCCAGGAGTTCAAGGTTACAGTAAGCTATGATCACGCCACCACACGCCGGCCTAGACATCAGAAAGAGACATCTCTTTCTTTTCGAGGTTGCGGTGGCCAGGAGCGGCCACTGCACGCCAGTCTGGACGACAGAGTGAGACTCCAACTCAAAAAAAAATTAAAAAATAATAATAAAAAAAAGAAAGGAAAGACCTGGAATAGGGAGGGGGTGAAAAAAAAATAGACCCGTGACCTTGAGCAAACCCATGTCACCTTCCAGGCTTGCTTGGTTTCCCATCTTTATTGATTTTTATTTTTATTTATCTATGTATTTTTTTGAGTCGTATTCTCACTCTGTCGCCCAGACTGGAGTGCAGTGGCCGCTCCCGGCCACCGCAGCCTCGACCTGCTGGGCTCCGGCGATCCTTCCGCCTCAGCCTTCCGAGTAGCCGGGATTACAGGCATGCGCTACCACACCCGGCTGACTTTTTGATTTATTGTAGAGATGAGGTCTCGCTGCCCAGGCGGGTCTCGAACCCGTGGGCTCGGGCAATCCATTCACCTCGGCCTCCCAAAGGCACGGGATTACAGGCTGAGCCACCGAGCCCGGCTAAGTCTCCCATCTTTAAAAGGGAGGTCTGCCCTGGGTGACTGTGGCTGTCCCCCGAGGTCCTGCTCTGAGTTCCCAAGGCAGCCTTGCAGATAAGGCCTCAGTCACCCACCCACCCCTGAGCCCAGGCGACAGCATCCATGCCCTTTCCTGCCGAGTCTGGGCGGCACCAAGCTGTCCCCAGCAGATCGTCCCCCCTGGCTTCTCTGGGGGACGGAGCCCGCCTGGGTCTCCTCTCAGCCTGACTTTGGGTCCAGGCATCTGAGGCCGTCCGCTGGCCCGGCTGACACAGGATGCAGGCGGGGAAAAGGCTGGACTCCTGCCGGCTGGGAGGGCAGAAGGGGGCCGTGGCTAGCAGGGGCCCCTTGGGGCTTTCCCGGGCACAGGCGGGACCCCGGAAGGATGGGCCTTTCTCGGGGCTCGCCCGCCGGGCGCGTCTGGGGTCTGTCGCCCGCCCAGCGCCCCATGACTTTCAGTTGTCTTTGGGGCCGCGTCGGCACGCGAGGGAAGATTGAAGTCGACCATCACCGGATTTGCACACATGTCACTGATTTCTGTATTTTTCATCCCTTCGTTTTATTACCGAGTTGACTGATGTGTTTATTTATTTATGGGGCCATCCGGGGTATTGACGCATGGAAGGAGGGGGAAAAGCCAGCCAGGAGACCGATTGTGTCGGGATGTGTTTTCATGGCCGTGTGTCTAAGAAGAAAAAAAAAGGAAGGCTCCCATCTGCCAACTCGGGTCCCATGAGGGGCACCCGCACCCGCGCCCTCCCTGCCAATGGGTCCCCGGGCCCAGCCTGAGGTGGGTGCTGAGCTGTTTTACAGATCGTGTCGTCTTCTGGGCTGTTCTCTTGCTGGGCATGGCACAGGCAGAGCTTCTCTTGACCTCCTAGACCCTCCGTCTCCCCTGTCTGCTGGGTGGGGGTAGAGACACTTCAGAGCTTGTTGTCTGGGGGAGTCACTGAGTTGTCATCCAAGGGAAGGGGCCCGTGTCAGGCCTGGCACGTGGGCACACGAACGCTGGAGCCAGCCTGGGATGGAATTGACTCACTAGCTGTGTGACCTTAGGCAAGTTACTTGACCTCTCTGTGCCTCCGTTTCGTCATCTGTGAAAAGGGAATTTTGTGGTAGCTTAGAGTCTCACTCTGTCACTATGGAGGGCAATGGCACGCTCATGATTCACCGCAGCCTCGGCCTCCTGGGCTCAGGCGATCCTTCGGCCTCAGCCTCCTGCGTAGCTGGGATGGGATCGTAATTGTACCCACTTCACAGGATGGAACAGAGATAGTCTGGTGAGGGCTGGCAGCACGGCCTTGTGTCTGAGAAGTCTTGGGTGGGGGGCTTGTTGTCACTTTCATCAGTGATCTCCAGCACATGTGTTGGGCCTCTACGATGGCTGAGCTGGAATCTGCCGCCTTCTTAATAGCGTCCAAGGTTTTCTGTCCCCGCGAAGGCGGCTCTCTTTCCCTGCAGGAAGCTGGCATGACTGATATTTTGAGTGGGAGGAGGAGGGGCGTCGGGTCTGAGTGATGACTGCACAGGCAAATTCGGCTCAGCCAGATCAGAGTCTCAGCTGTGTGGCCTGGGGGCAGCTCCTTGGCCCCTCTGGCAAGTGAGCCTCACAATCAGGAGTCAAAAGCCAGGTGCCTGGGCCTGGTGGCCCACCCCTGTAGTCCTGGCTGCCTGGGAGGCTGGGGTGGGAGGATCGCTTGAGCCCCCGAGTGGAGGCTGCAGTGAGCTCGGATGGCACCACTGCACACTAGCCCGGGCAACAGAGCGAGACCCTGTCTCTGGAAAACTGAAATGAAAAGAACTAAGCCGTTTGGAGAGAGTCACGGAGTCTGGCACACAGATGGCGCTCAATAAGTGCAGGGGCAGAGAGTCTGGGTGGGGCTGAAAGAGAAGCAAAGCTGAGTTCTCGCTTCTGAC